CGCGGCTCTCGAGTCCCTCCCCACCCTCCTGCCGTGCTCCCGCCTTCCCTTCCCTGCCTCTTCTGAGGACCGCGGGACCCCTACCCGGACTCTTCAGAGTGTCGCCTTGCTGGGGCGCCTTCTCGCGCGTGCCCTAGGGGCTGGTCGGCGGACCCCTTTCTATCGTCCTGATCTCAAAGGCCTCGCCAGGCGAAGATCTTGATACCCGGGACCGGGTGCTGCTCTACCCCTGCTTCCTCCCCCCCCCCCCATTTTCGTTGTATTAAAGCCTTGAAAGTTCCAGTCTTTGCAGGTGGTTATGGATTCTTGTAGAGTAACTCAGTAATTTCGTACTCCTTCCCATATCTCCTGGATAAATTAGGTAGGGAAAGAGGAAAGGCACATCTGTAATGTACCCTGCTTTTTCTTTGTATCAGATCCTGTCATCACAAAAGGAATCCTCTGGGGTCAGGGTGGAAGCCACCAGCGAAGCAGACGCTAAGTGTTGTCCTCAACTAGGAGCTCTCAGCAGGAGGGAGTTTCTAACTGAAATCTCTTCTAAAGGAAGCCCTCTCATACACTCCTGTTTTTATAAGACACACACCAGGGATTCCCAATCATTGTTTCCCCCTCTTAATTGCGACCTCACTGCAGTAGTTAAAAAAAAAATAGATTAAGCCTTCCTGGCCATTTGGGGTTACCACAGACTGATTCTTACGTCAGCAGGCTCTGCCAAGCTGCCTTCAGGGGTGGCTCCTCTTCAGGCCCAAATAATAAGCAGCTGGAAGGCTTCCAACAGCGACTGTCTCCTTTATAAAATACATGCACTGCTCTTCAGTCCTGAGCATTCCAGTCACTTAGCTTTGAAACTGGCTTATCATTTGGCCTTTACTTTTTCATCGGAATCGCAACGTGCTAGGAAGGGGACAGGATAGATATGTGTCTCTTGAGTATTGATTAGCAGATTCACATTTCCTTCAGCCATCCACCCAGGGGAAAGGGAAGCTAGTGATGAGTTTGATTGGATACGAGACTTTTGTGTGCATCCTGTGTTTCTTTGCTGGGACTTGTAATTATGAAATAGGTTCAAATTCGACTGGAAGCTTCAGGTAGTATCTGGCTGTAATCACTTGTTGCAGAGTTTGGGAAAAAAAAAAAAGCTTAACTTGGGAGTCAGATTCTTACAATTTAGTACAAGAGGCTTGTAATCAGCCTTCATCAGGAGATACCCTTTCCTAGAGTAGGTTTATGCTTTGCTGGGTTTCTGAACAACATCTGGGTGTCAGGCCTGCAATGGGACTGAAGAAGGTCTTACCTAATTGTGCTAGTAACCTTTCTGGTGAAAGTTAATGCTTGAGATGAGTGAAGTATCTGAGATGGAAAGGTTGCAGGTTCAAATTTGCTAACAGGCTTTGAGGCTCGTGTCAAGCTGGCATCTGACTGATATCTTTGGAATCAAAGCTGAGAAGTAGGAAGAAAGAGATGGGAACTCATACAGCCAGCCTGCTGTGTGCTTTGCTTGGCCACTTTATGTGTATTTTAGAACTTACTCTTCAAAACCCAAGATGCATTTATTTTCAGTAGAGCATTTGAGGCCTGTCATCACGTAGGTACTGTATCAGTAAGCATTGGGTAAGGTAGGTGTGTGTGTGTGTGTGTGTGTGTGTGTGTGTGTGTGTGTGAGAGAGAGAGAGAGAGAGAGAGAGAGAGAACACAGCTTGCTTGATTTTAAACTCATTTTCTTTCCATTGTCTTCCACTGCTACCCAGAGAATTTAGAGCATAAGTCACCCTCAGCACCATATATTGTAAGATAGTTTTAAGATAGCCAAACCTCATAGCATGAACATGTAGGTATGTGCAGCCGTGCAGTGGAAAAAGGACAGATAGCTTCACAGTGGGTGGCGACAGTCTCTCTCACTTCCTTTTTTGTAAACGGCCTAAAAAGTGGCATTAGAAACTACTCTATGAACACCAGAGAAGCTTTTCCATGTCTTGCCTTATTCATGTACTTAAGTTCTCTGGTTACTCAGCCTCTGGGCTTATTGGTTTCTCACTTTTCCTATCAGACAGTGGGCGCAGCCCTTGAGTGGAGAGGGGAGTGAAACAGTTCCAGGGTGGTGCTGTGAGAGATGCATGGGGCCTGGGATCTGTGGGCGTCCATCCAGCCCCGCTCAGATTCCTCATTTAGATGCTGAAGATATGTTTGATTAAATTCTGGGTTTTCCTTTGGCTGGGTAGCTGCCTAGCTGAATATCCACATGAGACACAGACATTGGGTGCAGTGTTTTGAAAAAAAAAAAGTTACTGTTTGGAGCTTGGGATTTCATGCTTCCTCCAAATTTCAAGAGGAAATGAAAAATGTTACCAGTGGCTGTCATTTCTTTTTTTTTCTCTCTGTGTATTTCCTAGTCCTTCAGAAAAGGGTAGGCAGACATTGGGAGGATTTGAATGTGAGAAGCCACCGTCCAGGTGATTCAGACAGAAAACTTTCGTTTTTACTTCTTTAAAGACGGGTTGGGCTTTGATGTTGAAGTCTTATTATGTGTTGTGCCATTTTAATTACATTATTTAAAAATGACACACATTAACAAATGATATTATTTTTTTAAAAAATCTGGTGTAAGTTGGAAGGACTAAAATTGAAACTTGGCATCAGGGCACTGTGGTTTCTGGGCTTTGGATGAGCTCAATGGTAGAGCACCTGCCTGCTTGTCATGTACAGGAGTCCTGGGTTCAATTTCCAGCCCTACAAAAGGACACACACACACACACACACACACACACACACACACACACACACACACACACACACAGATATGAAAATATAATCTAAATTATCATTAGTTAAAACTTAAAACTACTTGGGGCAGTGGTGGTGCACGCCTTTAGTCCTAGCACTTGGGACCTGGTCTGCAAGAGCTAGCCTTCATAAGGTTCGCAGAGAAACCCTGTCTGGAAAAACCATAAAAAATAAAAATACTTTTGCTGGGCGTTGGTGGCACACACCTTTAATCCCAGCACTCGGGAGGCAGAGGCAGGTGTATGGATCTCTGTGAGTTGGAGGCCAGCCTGGTCTCCAGAGCGAGTGCCAGGATAGGCTTCAAAGCTACACAGAGAAACCCTGTCTCGAAAAACCAAACCAAACCAAAACAAAGAAACAAAAAAACCCCCTAAAACTACTATCCTTAGTGTTGGTTGTCCAGTAATCTTTGTGTACTTGTGATTTTTGGAGCTGGTAAAGATTTTAAAGTTTTATTTTTTTATTTGCATGTAAATGACATCAATACAATTTTGGTCTTTACTCCAGGAATTATGATTTATTATTCATATGTTAAAATTTACTTAGATTTAATACTGTACAATCTTAATGTATGTAAATGTCATATACAACAAGGAGTTGGTAAAGTTTTTGGAGATTCTAAACGAAGATAGTAAAAAATCTTGTGTAAGAAGGCTGGGCATGGTGGCATTGGCCTGTAATCCTAGCACTCTGGAGGTAGAGGGAGGCTGATCTCTGAATTTGAGGTCAGCCTAGTCTACATAGTGAATTTCAGGACAGCCAGGGCTATATAGTGAGGCCTTGTCTTAAACAAACAAACAAACAAATAACAAAAAGATCTGTATAAGACTGAAGGTCTAAAATTGAAAGTTGGCCTTAGTGCATTGTGACTTCTTTACCATTTTTGGAAGGAGGATTCAGTGTTTATTATTGCTTGTTTGATGGCAGGTGGGGTGGGCTTTGTACTCAGGTCATTTAATCCTTGCAATTCCATAAGACTGATTTTAATCCCATGTTTATGGCTGGAGAAATGGAGAATTTCTATATGTATATATTGTATATAACCTTTGTTATATACAAGTACAAGTATTCCATGCAAATATCTAAAAACATCCAATGGAGAAATAGCAGGAATCCTGCATAGTGACTGGAAAGACGTGGTGGTTAAGAGTGGTAAGTGCTCTTATAGATGGCCCAAATTTGATTCCTAGCACCCAGACAGTCCTCCATGGGCACCAGGCATGAACATAGCACATATACATACATACAAGGAAGCAAAATACTCCACACATAAAATAAAAGTAAAGTCCATCTTAAAATCTTACAGAGATTTGGTAAATGACAAATAGCCAGTGAAGAGTTTTAAAAACAGCCAAATAGCCATGAATTACCCCTCTGATGCACAACACTTCAGGAGAAGAGCCTTGATATTCTAGACATTCTAGAGTGGAATCTAATAAAGACACCTGGATGCAGCTGGGCTTTTGTCTATTCGGTAGCTTTATGAGTGAATGTTGTTTGTAATGGAACTTTGATGGTAAGTTGAGAGGCGAGGCTGGCTTTCTTCTCTGCATTTCTCTGCCAGTTAGTGACACGGCTCTCTTTGTAAGAGAAAGAAATTGGATCCACCAAGGGACATCTTGGGCTGTGGTGGATACCCCAGGCAATCTGCGTTCTTGGGGCCAGTCATCTTATCTTGAGGCTCCTTTGGCCAGCCTGCTTGAACTCAGGAGACCCAGTTTCCATTCCCACTTGCAATACCCAGAGGCCTCCTTGTCTTTCCTCCTTTGGCACTGCCCTGGGATCCCAGAAAGAGACAATTCCCAGCCTGGGTTCTCCTATCTCCTGTACCAGCCACCAGCCCTCCAAAAGAGCCGCCTGTAAGCACCCTCCCTTGCTAGGTTTGCAAACTCCTGGGTATAGCAACATTCCAACCACTGATAAAAGTGCCTGTTGTACAGAGAAAACAAATCTTTAAGCTACCTTTCTTACCTGTATTGTGGAGAAAATATGGCCAAGCTGCCTCATGTGGTTATTATCACAGTTGTGT